GCGTAGGGGGCGCGCGCGTGCGGTTTCCCCACGTGCGCACCCGCCTGCCCGCGGCGCGGCCGCGGGCGGACTCGGTCGAGGACGCAGGATCCGCGGTCGAGGGAGCCACGTAGGCGCTGACCAATGGACGAAAAGTGAGGCCTCAAATTTTATAAAATCTAATAACGAAATTAAAAATGATAAAGGGAAAGAAATACATCATTATTTTATTATTTAGCGAAATTTTATCAGATTCTGCTTTTGATGAATTTGAGCTAAGATTATCTATTTATCCCCCATCATCGATTAAACAATTTTTTGTTATTCATAATCCCACGCTGGATTTGCCCGATTTCCCTGATTATTACCCTCGCCATAACACAGGTATTATTGAGTGAGCGGGGGTGACGTCGGCAGGTGGATCAGAGGGGCCGTTTTTTCAAGTTACAGTGACATGGTCGAAATGGTGCGGTCACTGGCTCTACTTTGAAACAGATTGCAGCCACGCAACATTATTATTTTGGTGTGAACACTGGTTTGGAACGAGCACGGTGCACTGGTTCGGAACAGGTACGGCACGGGTACAGGAACAGCGTTGGTGCAGGCTCCTGCGATTCGAAGTTGAGATAGTTGGTGCGGCCGCTGAGACGGTGGACATATGGTGACCGGTTCGGATTGGTACTGCTACTGGTTCAGCATCGACATGGTACTGGGGGAGTGCATTGCGACCTGTTCCTATTTTTCAAACTCGGTACTGGTACGGCACACCTGGTATGGTAACGGTACACGTTGCTGCAGTTCAAAACAGTTATTTCAAAGTTCGGTACTGGTTCGGCACATTGCTGTTCGACCATTATTCTCATCCTTTCCGCACTGGCGCAGCGGCGTGCGACTCACTGCTATCTGGTACCCGCCTCGGGACAAACATGTTTATTGCGGATTTACACTGGCATTCAACAGTACGGTACTTGGCCTAGGGTCGGGTGTGAGCCACTGATACTGCTAGATGCGGTTGAGCATGACGAATTATCTGGTGTTGGGTCTATTGCGGCATGGCCACTGAATTTAAGGGTGTGGTACTGTCCTACACTTTGGGATCCATGATTTGGGGACCGGCCTAAATGACTGACCCTGCCTACTATCCTTTCTGGGCTTGGGCTCTGCTCGCCGCTGGTATCGACGATCTTGGTTGTGTTGGCTACAAGGAGGATGTTGACCGGACATAGGAGGCGGTGAAGCCAAAGGGGGGGGGTCTGCGTGCTAGGTGTACACAACCCACGGCTGATCCAACGGGTCCTTGGTTTGTGTCGCTTCGCGGGATCGAGGGGAAGGAGGGAGAGATTCGGACGACGGGGAAAGGAAGGCGTGCCAAGCGTTCTCATCCCTTGTTGGAGATCGTTGTGAACGAGTCATTCAGAGGGGAAAGGAGACAAGTGTGTCTGGCGTTCACGATGGGAAGAAGCACACACTGTGTACCCAGCCCTCGGTCTCCAAATTAAGTTCCCCTCCATCAGCGAACGCGACATCTGACTTCAGGGAGATTAATCAAACGCTACATTGAACGAGAGAGGGATGACCAATGAGTCCGACATTCTAAGTGTGAGGGAGGCTCGTTACGTGAAGACTCCTGGTTGTATGTATGGACCGACAGGAATGATGTGACGGCGAGCGTTCGATATGATTGTCTCTGGGTTTGAGTTGGCGGCATCTTGAGAACGCTGCTAATGGAAAATGGGACTCCTGAGCCTTGGTGAAGGGTGAAAACCAGCGCGCACAACTTGTCTAAGCGCGAGAGAGCTCCCGTCAGGACGGCGAGGCTCGTTTCGTGAAGGCTCCTGGTTGTATGTGTGAACCAAAGAGAGTGATGAGACAATGAGAGTCCGACATGATTGGCCCCTGTGCCCGAGTTTTAGCAGTGGTTGATAGCGCAGGCGGGGTGTTACATGCACAGATATGTGATGTTCGTAATAACCGAGGAACTGCAGTGTGATAAAAAGGACTGAAATGGACAATGCGGTGAGAGTAGAATCTCGACAGACAATGTGCATTCTCATACATACAAAAGTGCTGAATAGCGCAGGGAAGAMTTAGATACAAAGACTGACCTGACAAGGACTGACCTCACACACGTAGTACAAGTAGCGAAGCAGAATGCTAGAATACCAATCACGAGCCCAATCAATGTTTGAACTCAGACTAAACATGCATCGTATCCCTCACCAGGTGTGAAGGAGCCT